TCACTCCATTAGACCTATTTTTGTCCACTTCATCAGTGATTTGGCATACCTCAGCCTCCTCATTTACCTCAACAGCATCCATTCCACTGAGACTTTTTCTGAAGAGACTTTGCAGATGCATCAGCTTAAGCGTCAGATGTGTCTCTCAGGTCTTTCGTCAGGTCTTTGCTGGATTTTGACCTAATTAAGGGCATAACTTTCAGATACTGTTCATCTTACGCAGATTGATTTTTTTTTAGGTATAACAATTTTGTTCTCCTCTTGTCTAGTTTCTTCAGATTTTTTAAGGACACACTGCCCAGATATGCCTAGTTTTTAGCTCTTTAGAAATCATCTCGTTGGTGCAATTGGGATTTTTCAGAAATTGAACTAATGAAGCTGGAACAAATTATGAGTTTTTGAGACAGGCTGCAAGTAACATATTGGCTAAAGATACAATTTAAAATTGGTTCTTTGCTACATTTTCATATATATGTAGATACAAAGGTGATTCATCCCTTGGGCTAGGTGCTTTGGTCTGGCTCCTTGGGAGTAAAATATAAAGAAATTAGAGGTGACTTTTGCACAGTAAGGTACAGTCGTTTCAGCACATTAACTTTTTTCTAAAAACTTCATGGATAAGCTAATAGCTAACAAAGGATTATTACCACGAGGGCAAATAGATTACTTGACTCTATCTGCCATTACAGTGTTTATGCTCAGCATCTTTTAGCTTTTATTTTGCCCTGCTAACAAAGACAACAAGAGAGATGTAGCAGTTAATGAGCCCATTGATCACCCAAGTCTTGCTGCTATAAATATTGATAATGACTTCATTTGGTTTAATGCTAATCCAATGGTTGCAGCTCAGTATAGGCATCCTTGTGGGTTGTTGTTTACACTGGCCGCTGCGGCTGAATTCACACAGTTGAATTCTCAACAAAGACATTTCTGGTAGTAATGTCCCTCTGTATAAATTGGTACCAATTTGGTTTCACCATTACTTTTTAATGGGACCTGGAATAACAGTTCCATCACCCAAACACACAACTAAACCTTTATACGGACTAGATATTATTAAAAATATATATACATATACATATTCTTCAATGTAGAAATAGGATACTCTTATTATTTTTACACAGAATATTATACATTTAGATATTGCCTTCTCCTAAAACAGCAATCAGTCACATATTGGTTAAGCTTATTCACATTGCCATTATCAGTTAAATGGGCAGTCCAATAAATGGGCACTAAGGTCATTTTAGTTATAACACCACAGGGAGTATTACTCAAGCTGTAAAAACAGTTGGAATATGTGTTCTATGGATCTTGAGGGAGCTCTGCAAAGTCTAAAAAAATGACTATGATGATACCATCAGGGGTGCTTCACCAATCATTTTGCATATGATATCATCAGGGGTGTTTCCGCTTAAGACTTTCCACTTATAGCAGGAAGCTCGTGTTACAAACAGGGTGGGGGATGGGGTTGTTGCAGATGTAATCACTGATTTAATTCACAAATGAACTGTACTATCCAGTCGCTTGATGGAAAGTGAAGTTTTCTCTAATGCTTTAGAATGAAAGTCACAGTATAAATCATCAGCGCTTGTTTGACTTTCTTTTCTTTGGACCTCAGAAGCCCAAAAACTAGCTATTTGTAAGCAAAGCCATTAATCCAGTGTGTGGGTGCTGTTTAAATTTCATATCTGTACACTGTTTCCATGGTCACAACATGTTTTTCTTTTGATAAACTTAAAAGTCTCTTTCTTATTCTACAATGCAGCCTGTGATTTGGGAGTGTTCACTGGGGTTATGCTGCGTTGTTCCTGTTTTTCCTACCAATTCTCCAAAGAGTGCTGATTTTGAAGTTTTGAGGGTTTTATTGCACTTCACATCAAGAGGAGCCTTTTTTCCCCGTGAATTACCTTGATCTGTTCTCCCTGGGGATAACGTTGAAAGACAAAGCAGCGCAATTCACTCGGGGCACACCAAGAATAAATGGTCCTCTGAAATGTCAAAATCTGTTGGGGGGAAGCAGTCTTACCCTGTGGTTGTAAAGATGCGCCTGGAAGAGAACTTTATGTGTTTCCAAAGTGGAAAAAAGAAAGTTTTCAATGCTGAGAATTGCGGTGTGCCGATGATGATACTGATCCAAGTATTTAAAAGTAACTCTGAATGATTACTTACCTACTGGTGACATCTCGGGAACACTGGCTGTATATGGTCCTTCCAGGAACTTGGGCTCATTGTCGTTGATATCTTGGACCTTGATTACAAATTCTGATTCAGGTTCCAG